TTTTTCTACATAAAATTTTATCAAAATTCGAGACGTTAAAATTTAAAAAAAAATTCGTAAATAACAATTTTAATAAATAATTTGTTAGTAAATACTAATTTTTTATTTATTAATTGGTAAATTTTAAAAAAAAAATCGAGCCTATTAAAATTTATTTTTAACATATTAAAATTTGACCCTATTTGAACTTTATCTAAGTTATTAGTGCCGATTAAAATTTATATTTTTTTTACTTATTAAAATTCGTGTCAATTAAAATTTGATTTATTAAAATTTAATTCAATTGAATCAAAATTCATGTCAATTGAATCGAATTTTATTCGGTTCAAATTTAATTACGTAAAAAAAATTAGAAAACAGAGGGAGTCTCATTGAAAATATACTTATTTAAAGGGGGTCTCATTGAAAATATGTCTATCTAGAGGGGTATGGATGAAGTTTATTCTCAAATATATCATGGTCAATTTAGTAAAATTACATTATAATTAATATTTTTAATCTGACAGAGAGTGTCATTGAAGATTCAAAAATTAGAGGGGATGTCCTTAAAGATATGGTAAATTAGAGGGGATGTGGTTGAAATTTTTCTAAAATAATTTCAAAAGGGAGAATTTTACTTTGACCCTCAAAAGATTTCAGTTTTCCACTTTAAACCCTCAAAAAATAAAGTTTCTCATATTTCATCTTCAATATATTAAAAGTATTGTAATGTAGATTTTTTGTTATCTTTTATTGCTTATATCATCAAAATCCATCACATTGACATTAACAGAATAAGTAACGAAAACTAATGAAATGATCACATTATAATATTTTTATTGTATTATTACATATCAAAAAATAAAATATAATATATATTGGACCATAGAATTCAATCTGCTAGCTATATGTATATAATAATTTAACATATATATGGTTTTACTTCTTTATATAGATATAGATAATTATAAGTAACTGTACTACTAATAAATGAGTTTAAAATAATTTATAAATCCTTATAAAAGAGTCTAAAATAAGTTGAAAGTCAAATAGGTGTAAAAAACATATATTATATCAAAGTATATAAGTAGGTATAATTGACTTTATTATAATAATTAGAGATAAAATTAAAAATTAAAAAAAAATTCAAGTACTAATATTTATAAATAATATAGATATAGATAAAGGAATGGGTTTGAGAAAGATAGAGAGAGATATTAAAACTAAAATCTAATATCATATATCTTTTTAGAAGCGTCATCCTTAAAAATATGATAAACTACAAGCAATGCCAATGAGATTTTTCTTTATATTTATTATCAAGGGTATAATCGTAAAAGCATTGATTTCGTCAAATTTCAAAAAATATAAAAAAAATTATCCATAAATCAAACTTTTCCTTCAAAAAATCATTAAATCCTACTAAATTTCTACGACAACTAAGTCCTACTTTGCACATTTTGTTCCCCCTCAAGTTTAAAACTCAATCAATAGTCCTGTGTATTTTAAATTTATCTGTCTCATAAGACATCACTTTATATTTTTACCCATAACTTCCTACCCTAGTTTAATTTATTTTAAAATTATTTTTCTGTATATATTAGGTGAGTTGAATACTTGACTCTCATAATTTCAACAAATTTTCTTATATCAATCAACAACCAAAATTATAAATCTCAAGGAATAATCCAATGGAGATATAAATGAGTTGTAATTCTCAAACATTGTTTAAAGCTCGACAATTCTCTTAGAATCAAGTTATGAGAGATAAATTCTTTGTAAATTTCTCAGTTTCAATATGGATGACCAATTTTTGAACGAATAAGCGAAATGATTAGTGAATGTGTCTATAAACTGATACGGACACTCCTAACCATAATATCCGAAACTAAAATTGCCCAAAAGCATGGTGGAATCAAAAAATTATCAAAACCAATAAATACCTAAAATAAAGTTGATATTAACTGGAACTAGGATTTTGGGAGTGTAGGAGAGTTGTTTGTTTCTAGTGACAACACTTCCAAAAAAAGTCCAAAATCTATGGCGGAGATACTTCTAGCGGTGAGAAAATAATAAGATATCTATAGTATAAAATATGGTAGACTTCAATAAACTCATTCAATTGTCTCAAATAGATTCATCTAACGACCACTAACATTCTTCTTAAAACTATTTATATTGCATTGTACCTCAGGCACAGATTACCCCTATTTCCATTGGTGAGTTGTAAATTCCATTTGCCAAAACCATTGGTGAGTTGTAAAGGAGCATAGAACAACTCACAAAATTAGTATCTCCATTGGTGAGTTGTTTGCCTTGCTTAGTTTTATCTATATAATATTACACATAATAGTGCTTACACAAAGTACAATAATGGTCCACATAATCTTCGGTGTATGTTATTACAGTCAACTTAGAAGAGGGAAACTTAGGAAATTTTCCATCCCAACCTATATTTTTCCTTGAATTTAATTTATTTTATTGAAATAGAAGGTTTATCCAATTACATTATGAAGGGACATTTGCTAGGGCTTATCATAAAAGGACATGTGTTAGGGCTTATCATAAGAGGACACGTGTACCAAGGTGAATCCCATTAGACGCATAACCTCTAGGATATTTTTTGTATGTTTTTTGGGAAGAGTTTGAATTTTCTTGTTCAAATCCTTCCAAATTCAAATATGGAGTTCAAAGATGGAATTCAACATTTAATGTTGTCCATACCACCCATGTTTAGTATGTTTAGAGATATATGATTATTATGATAATATATTTGTATATAAATGACTTTTGTGCTTCTTAACCAATTTGTATATATGAAGTATATAGGATATATGAGGGTATAAATATCATTTGTATATTAAACCCATTAATTCATATATGAAACCCATGAACTTGGGTTTCATAATCGGGCCTAAACTGGGTTGAATTTTAAACCCTAAGCTAGATGTATATTTGTCAAACATTGGTTTGAGTGGATTTATTCCCCAAACCATGTTCCAAACCCCCCCCCCTCCAAATCCACATACTAAACAGGCCCTTAGAGTGTATTCAAGTTGGGCAAGTACTCAACCAGTCGAACATAATCAAATTTTGAAACGTAGCGTGAGGGACGCTTATAGCTTCTGGTCTTGTCCTGGGAGAAAATATCGGGTGGAATGGTTATACCATAACATCACATTGCACATCATGTAATCGTTTAATTATAAAATAACAAATGGACGAGTAAATCTCACATAATTAAATAAATACTCATCCATGTCATACAATAACTACCATTGTGGGAACCACTTGTCCATTTGTTATCATATTATTTGACAGTTATACCATATCAGCGTGATAATATGGTATAATCGTTATACCCAATATTTGTTTCTATCACAGGCACCACATCCCAATGCCCTAGCAATGTGATTAACTCGTCAAAAAACATATTTCCATGTCATACTACAAGATCATTCCACAATTTAATTTGATTTAATTGTGATCATTGATCGTTAAATTAATAAACTAAAAAATAAGAAAAATGTATACGTGTAAAAAATAAGAACCCACTATCAATCAAAAATCGCAGGTTTAATTTCATCATCTCCCTCCCTGTAACGATGGTTGACCAAAAAAAAAAAAGAAAAGAAAAATCATGAGTTGGTGGCCACCGTCAAGTGCAAGGTCGAAAACCAGAGTATCATGTTAGTCACACTTTGGCATGCTTAGTTCAATACTGAGCTCAATGATCAACTAGGAGATCTTATGATTCATCAAATCAAATGCAATGTTTGTATTATTGTTAATCAAAATCGCTATCAACCATTCATCCCCAATCTGGCCTCTCAACTATTCCATTCACAAGCCATATGGAATTTGTTTTTATGGCTACAATGCAATTCAAAATACGAGTAATTACACGTAAATCATGTATATCGAATCTGAATTGATCAAAAAGCCTAACTCAAAAATAGCAAACTTTTTAAGGGTTTCTACGGTAGCTTGGCGTTCAAATCCCCAAAGTAAAATTGTTCAACCAAGATAGAAAATGTTGTATACATTCTACTTCTTTTTTTTGGTTTAACAATCAGGAGTATTTGAACCGGTTTACTCGTACTTCGACTAATCTTCTCTCTAGTCTTGTCAAAGACAAGTCATCCACATCGAAATTACAATATTCATGAGGGACAAATTTCTCATCGTATGAGTACCAAGAGATTGTCAATATTCAAACACGAATCATTTAAATTTACAGTTCATCTCTATTAATACTTGAACTAACCCTTAAGATTAAAAAATTGTATACATTCGTCATCATCATCATCGTCATCACATAAATCACATTTCTTATCTTAGAGAACTCAGAAGTAATTTAGAATTTAGCTGAAGAAAAATAATAATTGTACTTAATTTATTAACTTTATTTACTGATTTTATGTATCACAATAATTGAATTAACAATGAATCCCAATCAACAGAGGGTTTTAGTTTTATTGTCAATTCAATTGCAGAGAGTGAATAGGTTATAAATAATATAAGTAAATTAGCTCAAGTACCACTTTCGTTAAAGGTGTCAAAGTATGACATCATCCGTTAACAAAATTCAGACAGGGTACAAAATTAAATTAAAGAGTTTGAATCTTTTATAAGTCACTTATTTCGTAAATAAATGAATTCAATCCGACACGATTAATAAACAAAATAATTGTGGTAAAGTCGGTCAAAAGAAATATCCGACAAAACGTTTATATTTCGGACATACACATACACTGAACTCGATAGAACGCGATTCGTTAGACACAAAATAATAAATGAATTTGGCATGTGAAAAGAATTTTCTTGACACTAACCCTATGATACCTGTAGAGACCCGTGTCACCCGACAAAATTAATCGGCCAAATTGCTGAAACGCAGAAAAATAATTCACATATCATACAACAATTATTCCATTAGATTATCGATCTGGTTTGTGAATCATTGATCTGATTATTTTGAGTGATCATGATCAAGATCGAGAGAACAGAAATTTGAAACCCTAAGAAGGATGAACCTTCTTTGAATTAGAGGAAAGAGCTTTCATGGCCGATTTCATCGAAGCACCAGCAGAATTAACAGCAGCTTCAATATACTTCTTCGCTGCAATGGTGGCCGCTGTCTCCATAGACTTCCCCATCTTCCTCGCATTCTCTGCAACTACAACCAAGCCTTTGAGTTCAATCCTAGTAGTACGATCAGCGTCTTCTTCAAACCTTCGAAACTCTTCCATGGCGCTTTCCATGACCGAGTCGAGGTAGTCCTCGGCTTCTTTCATGGAGTTCTCAGCTTGTTTGACCTCTTTCTCTTGTTCCAGCTCCACGGCTGCCCAGGCTTTGTAAGCTTCGATCTCGAAAAGCTTCATAAGGTCTTCGATTGTCGATGGATCAAAGTTCTTGTCTTGCAGGGCCTGATCGGAGAGGAAGGTGAACTGAGAAATGAGAGCTTCCATGTTGGGGGTGGTGGGGGAGAGTGGGTGGAGTGGTTGTTTGGTTACTGGGAAAATAGGAGGGTTGAAGAGAGTGACAAGTGGGTGGAGAATAGAATCATATAAAGAGGGTTATTCCAATAGTTTTTTTCTTATCTAATGGAGAGAGAATAATTCAACGTCCTCTTTTGGTGAAAAGCAAGAAATTCCATTATGATCATGCTGGCAACGATCGGATTTTATTTTTTAATATATTTTTCTCTTTTTTTTTTTTCAATAATAAATTATTGTCAAATAAAAACAGAATTTGATGATACCAACAAATGTTTACGTAACCTGGATACGTGGTTGATTGGAATTGTGCCTTGACCGACTAAGGGAAGCAAGTCAAAATCGGAGGAAGTCTAGAGTCGAACTTCTTATGCTTAAGTTAGAAAAAAAAAATTTAAAAAAAATAATATTTAATTGGGATTACATTATCTTGTTCATTGATGGGAGAATCTTAGATTGGTGTGGTGTAGGGTCACTAGGTGTGGCCTTTGTCAATGCACCAGCTTGCAATCTTTTTTGACTTTTAGGATAAAGTTGGCCTTTTTTGTTTATTTTCGCCATTTCTAACTCTAACTCAAATTTAAATAAAAGAGTCTAAAAATTTGTTTCAATCATTAATTCAAACTTATACAAAATTAAAAAAAACTTATTTTTTTATTCAAATCAAATGAGACTCAAATCTTTAATGGTTTAATTTTACCATCTTTTAAATATTCAATGATTATTCTTATTTCCTTTTAAATCTGGGTATCTCCTTTTTTAAATTTGAATTTCTCCATTGAAATTTTCATATCAAACTAAGTTTTTTACTTAAATGTTAATTTAAATTTGAGTCATGCTTAGAGATGATCTAATATACTATTTTCAATTCTGTAAATTATCTATTTATTAATAAATGAGAGACTTATTTATATACGATGGATTCAATTTGGAGTCGACTTAAATATATGATAAATGATCTACCAAAAACAATATAGAGAAAATGTATTAAAGAAAATATCTTTTTTTTTTGTTTTTTTGGCTCTGGGTGCTTTATAATATCTACATAAATGAGCAATGAATCGTGTAGATCTGGAAACATGCTAGCCAGACCTTTGAGCAGAAAATATGGGCACATCAAATAGGTAGTGGGTGGTGACCCACCAATTAAATGACCGTTGAATCTTAGCCAAACAATGTTGTTGAAGCATTTGAACAATGGTCCACTATGGTTACTCTCATTTACACTAATGTACCACAACCACTCAATTATATATATTACCAAATCTCCAAATTTTTGTGATTTACATTAATGTAACTCTTTGTCTTTAGTAAATAAGTGGGGAATTGTTATATATGTATATATATATATATATATATATATATATACATATATATAAATGCTAATATTTATTAATAAGAATAAATTATATAATTATTTGTTTATTGATGGTTAAGATGACTCTTGAAGATAAGAGTTACATCCTCTCAAATAAAGGTATCTATTAGCATTTAAATGAAGAGTTACAACTCTTATAAAGAAATATATGAAATACTATAAATATAGAGTTCCTAACCTTGGCCATAAAAGAATTCAGTTGTTAATTTGTAATTCTAGTATCGAGATTGTTTTTCAGAGTTTCATTCAGGTTAAGTTATGGTTTTAAGATTACTAATAAATGCAGTCTTTAAATATTAGGCATTTTATCATGGGTGATAAAATTTTTATGAGTCCTTCTGCATCATAGTGAAAAAATTACTATCTTGATGAGAGTGTCTAGCGTGCCTTGCCTAACGATTTTTTCATATCTTTCTTATTTCCATTGTGTCTTCTATTTGATTTCTTGTCCATCACGGGTGGTTCAAGACAGTTTGAAGCTTAAAAACGAAAACACAAAATGAGGCCCTTTTTTATTTTTAATATTAATTTTTTAAACAAATTTAATTTATTTTTAATTTATTATGTGTGTGTGTGTGTGAGAGAGAGACAGAGAGAGAAGAAAGACGTGCTAGTGTTGTCAAAAAAAATATTTTAACTTTTATTTTGTTTGTTACTAGAGAGAGAGAGAGTTTAATTTTAATTTCTTTTTTATGTTTTTTTACTTATTTTTCTAGAGAGAGAATGAGTAAAAATAAACATGAGTTGGCTTTTGAATATTTTTTACTTTTTCAACTTATGATTTTTAAGTTTCTACTTTTATGAATTGGATGATGGAACAAAATTATTACAATAAAAATTTTGATTGTATTTAATTTTTGGGGGCCATTTTTTTTAGGGTTTAAAATTTAATGGATTCAAATTTTTGTTATAAGTTAATAATATACCTAAAATTATGGGACCTTTTAAAAATTTGAGCCCTAAAGCTCAAGTGTTTTTTTTTTAATACCGTTGAGTCGCCCCTATGTACCATCGATGTATATATACAACATGTGTAAGGCTTAATAAAGTACCATGCCCAGAAATAATTCAACAATAAAGTTTAAGAGCAATGCTATATGAAATTAAAAACTAGATTTGATAATCTCAACCATTGATTTTACTGTGACTCCCAGCATTTATTGGGACCCACCACTACCTATTCAATGGTTGAGATTATCAAGACTAATTTTTAAGTCTATCTAGTATTACTCAAAGTTTAATAAAATAAGTAAAAATGCACATTTTGCGCATTTCAATTGGCTAAAAAGTGGAGATACAACACCAAGGTACCGTAACACTCCTTTGGTACTATATATATCTCATAAGAGTAATGCTATTTAGACTTAATTTAATGATATAAATTATAATTATTGAATTGACAATAAGTCCTAATATTTATTGGAATCCATAACCAATCTAATAATTGTGATAAATCTATAATATAAAATATGACAAGTTTTAATAAGTTTATTCGACGATCTCAAATAGACTCATTCAATAACTATCAACATCTCTCTCAAAATCATTCGCATTGATTTACGTCGCACAAGCATTATTTATCCCTAGTTAAGTCAATAAATTAGATTAAAATAATATTATTGTTAATTAGGCTTTACTTTTTAAATGAGGTGGATTGTCGGACTTAACCCAAAAGAACATAAACCCTGGACTAAGGCTATTAATTAAACTGAGCTATTCGAGTTTGACTTGAATTCAGCTCGGGTTCAGCCTTGGTTTGTTTTCTAAACGAGCCAAATTTGAACAAATTTTTAGGCTCGTTTAAAAAACATGCATTACAAGTTCGGCTCAAACTCGACTCGTTTTTGTGCAAATACTCGGGCTCGGCTCAGAATTGACTTGTTTTTGGCTCGTTCAGGCTCGACTCATTTCCTAAACAAGTCAAACTTGAACAATTTTTTAAACTCGATTAAAAAACAAGTTTTTCAAGTTCGACTCAAAATCGACTCGGGCTCATTCGACTAACAGCACTACCCTGACCAGAACAGTAATTGGCCCATCTTTTTTGGACTACTTTGATTGGGCCGCCCGGCCCATAAAATTCTGCAAATTTTCCCAAGAAAAAAGGTGAAACTGACCGAGAGAGAGAGAGAGAGAGAGAGAGAGAGAGGGGGGGGTCAAGTTGAAGAAGAGTAGGGTCAGGACAAGATTCGATAGAGATAGATATAGATTGAGAAAGAGACAGAGAGGATGGAGGAGAATGCTAACCTGCGCACCGGGTGTTGTTGCCGCTGTTGATTCTCTGCTTGACGAGCAGTCTGTTACAGTCCGTTCAAGCAATATGGCTGAATTTACCGGCGACCGGAACGAAGTGCGTGTCGGAGGAAATCCACAACAACGTCGTCGTTTTGGCCGATTACGTCGTCATTTCTAATGATCAGACTCACCCCACACCAACCATCTCTACCAAGGTGACCTGTTAGGGTTTTGAATTTTTTATTTTCATTTCATTTTCTCTGTTTTAATCTTTTAAGTCTGTTTATAAATTTTATCTTGTAATTGATCGGCCTGTTTGTTTCTTGAGATTTGCAATTCGAGCTAAGCAATTGGTATGCTTTGGATTTAGCCTGCTATTAGATTGAATTTTGTTGCAAATAAGGTTAGGCAGGGTTTTAAGTATTGGAACAGAAAATTGAACACTTTTAATTTAAAATAAAGATCCAATGGAAGTCGGTCTATCTAATTCGGTTGTCAATGCGGAAGAATTGGACATAAACCCAAGGAGAAACTGACGAGTTGTACACCTAGAAGTCCTGGGGTTGCTTCCTTAGGGACATGCCATGAGAGTTTTATCATCGTGAAATTCTTAGTCCCGGCCATGGACGGAACTATTATAGGGCCTAGGGGGACCATGGCTGGCCCTAACCTCTGAAAAATCCTCATGTATATACATATACTATACTCCAAAAAGTTGCTTCATTTTTGTAGTATATTGGCTCCTCCAAGACCAATTCTACCATAAAAGTGATTTTAATCTTTCACACACCTGCAATTAACTGTCTCTCTCTGTTTCTATAAATATTCTCCTACTTCAAATATAATATCAGTTCATTTACTAGTTTAGTCTTTCAAGAAAATATTATGTTGGTAAATGAGAATAGTCTTTTTTTTTTGAACCGGTGAGAATACCCTCCCTTCCAAAAAAAATAGAATAACCTCCCCGTTTTAGATAGATTGAACAAAAATTCCTTACGATCACCATAGAAATTGTACTTTTTCTACCATAAATATTGCCAAACTAGATTTTGAAATAGGATGGAGAACGATCTTTTGACAAACTCTTTGATTGCATGGATAAACAAGATATTTTTATAAATTTCAATACGAATACAATCATAACGGAATTTTGTGATAGAAAAGAATCTCGAGTACCATTTTTAAAGATGGTTGAGGGAATATAAAATAAAAGACTATTCCTTTGGTTTTTTCTCTCTTTTTTTTTGTGACAACATCCTTGTTTATGTTGACTGAATTTTTATCTGATATTTTTTTATATATTGTATGTTTAGATGTAAAAGGTATAAATATCATTTACGTTGTTGGTTTAAGTTTTTGTGTCTCGTATTTAGCTCTTCTATGACTAAATTATGGTTCTATCCATGTTTTATATAATGGAAACTTGATATTAATGACTATATATGAATGGAAAAAATTTTTGATTGTGCCATCAATCTTGTTTGGACCCCTCACGATGAAATTGTGGCTCTATTTCTAACCCAACGTGGATGACCTGTCTTTAGCCAGATCAGGAAGAATATTTGTCGAATTGCGCCTAAGTTCTTCTGGACACCCTTCACCATAATATCAAAAAAAATAGTTGAACATAGATTTTTGGTGAACAGTTTGCTTTTTTCTTTTTTGTTTTTTCTCTTAAATAAATTGGACAACATCCATTCTTGGAACATTATAGCTGTTAACTTGAAACAAGAGTTTTTCCCCTTACTAAAAGCTTTTGTCTAAGAATGAACAATTTTATTTTGGACAACTGAATAAACATATGTTATATTTATATGACTGCCAATGTTATTGCCTAATGGTAGTATAATCGTTAAGAAACTAGCAATAACTCCGCCCCTAAAGACACTCTGTAATACAAAAAATCAAATATTGATCATATAATATTTATATTTTAAATAACAATTTATTTTTAATTTTTTTAAATACTTTAATTTAAAATTAAAGTGAATATAAAGAAAATAAAAGAGGTTAGTGTGAATTAATAAGGTTGTTTGACATTGAAGAGTGCGTTAATTGAGTTGCCTAAAATTGGGGGTTGTAGAGACAATATAATGTTTTTGAGTGAGAAAAAAATTTTGGGATACATTTTTTAGCATTGGATCAAAATAGATGAACATTTGATCAATCTTAACCGTTGTTGTGGTTTTATAAGTTGAGAATCCAACTTTTTAACTTTAATATTAGATAGATGTTCTACTTTTATCTTTACCATGGATTTGTGGTGTTTTACAATGTTGCAGAATCGATTACGCCTTTCTCTATTAGAAGTGGTGATAACCACTCAATTTTAATAAATATTAAGCCTTGGAGTGTGTTCTCCTATGCAGTGTTATATGGCATGAGCTAATATTCTCCATATTTTTGCCCAATGTACACACACCGAATCCAACCAACAACTCTTTGTTTTCCATTCTCTTGCGCAAAACAATAGAAGGGTCATGCACGCATAAGTATACAATGTGTGCAAACAACTTTGTTATTCACACAAAACGAGAAAACTCCACCAAACAACACCGAGCCACAACCTAAACTCCATTGTTTCATGAAAAAATTTACACCAACTGCGATCAAAATTGAAAACCTGATCAAACACGAAATCAAAATCAAACCCTAAATAAAAAAAAATCAAAAACCAAACAAAGCCAAGCCTTAAGTCTCAATTATTTGGGGTCGATTATATAAATTCATCTTCGCCATTTATTTCGATCATGCGTTATACGCTCATTTAGTTAAATATTTTCATATCTTTTTATTATTTTGTTCAATGTTAATTTAGGTCTACCTTTACTTCTAATACCATTAAGAGAAATTATATTACTTTTTCAGACCGGTGTCTCTATCGGTCTCCGTTGGATATGACCAAACCATCTTAATCTATTCTTTCTTAACTTATTCTCAATTGGAATTATTCCTACCATTTCTCTAATACGGTCATTTTGTATTATATCTTTTCTAGTTTTTTCATACATCCACTTTAACATTTTCATTTCCATTGCACTCATTTTGTCACTATGTTGTTTCTTAGTTGCCCAACATTCTGTCTCATACAACATTGTTGTCCTTGTAGTTGTTCGATAAAACTTATTTTTCAATTTTATTGGTATCCTTCTATAACATAATATGCCTAAGACTTTCCTCCATAAATCACAATACAAATTTAGCAAAATCAAAATAACAGAAGCAATCATACCCCCAAAACGGAAATTGAAATCACACCTGAACCACCATTTGCAACTCCATTAAACTACAAGCAAAATCTCAATTTAACCAATGCCAACCCCCCAATTCGATCCAATTAATTCTTCCTACTCGAAATTCAAATTCAACCACCAAAAATTCACTCATTTCGCTGTTGCCATTGCCGCAAAAAATATGTATAACCATTATGCTACACAAAATCATGAACCACCTCCTGAACTAATCTCTGAACCATGCCACTTCACCCAACTAGCTACAAAATCTCCATTCAATCCATTACAAACCCCTAATTCAACCCAATTCAAAACTCAAATCACCAACTAATTTAAAAGTGAAAATCAAACAATTAATGAAACGGGGAGATGTCGAGGGGAGAGTAATGGAGACAGAGTTTTTGGTGGGGATGGTGGGGTGCACGTGTTTCTGAGTTGTGGAGAGGGAAAGAGAGGGCAAGGGGAGGGGTTGTGGTGGTGGACGTTGAGGTGATTGTGTCGTGCTGTCATGGGTGCTAAGCTAAAAGGAGGGTTATTTAATGTATTGATCTTTTATGTGTTCGTGTATAAGACTAGATACACATAAAAATTATGTGCCTTTTTTCATGAATACTGACAAAATTACCCTTAGTGTTTAAATATGTGAACATTGAGGATCAAAGTGACAAAATTAAAATTTTATGGATCAAAGTGCAATAAGTGACTGTTGGTGCAATTTACCCTAAATTAAAAGCTTGGTACATGGAAATCAAAGTTGCTTGCATCTTGCAGTTATTTACCTCTCTTTTTTCTTTTAATGTATCCTTTTTTATTATGTATGACTCATCATCGGCCGCGTTTGTGTTTTGGTGGCTAGTTCTGAATTATGGTTTGTGCTACTCTTTCAGGTAACATCACCATATGGAAATAACCTTCATCACCAGGAAAATGTTACACATGGTCAGTTTGCATTTACAACTAATGAGGCTGGCAATTACCTAGCATGTTTCTGGGTGGATGGCCATAATCAAGGAGGTGGAGATATAAGCATCAACCTTGACTGGAAAACTGGAATTGCTGCAAAGGATTGGGAGTCGGTCGCTAGAAAAGAGAAAATAGAGGTGAGTCCCCTTCAACCAGAGCCTTTTTTGTTTTTTGGGCAAAACAAAAACTGGGAAAGACAAAAGGCACATCACAAGGTTCCTTTGTTTGCATATTTACTATTATAGATATGATGGCAATTTTTATACAACCTGTTTATTGCTTCGCCACATATCACAGGCTTCTATAGTTTGAAATGCCAACCTTCCCAGGGTATATGAAGGAAATTTCCTCATGCCGCACTAGAGTGAAATTTGTTTTAAAAGGTGCTATTGAAAAAACATAATTTCTCATAAGGCAAACGATCCAAAATAGAAAGTACATTACTATAGCTTTAGAATACGGTAAAATAAGAAATGATCTTGACTCTATGATATTATTCTGAATGAGAACTCAATGGGCAGTAATCTGGGAAAAGGATCAAATTTGTGGAGCTGGGTAGAATTGTTTGGTGGTAGTCAATTTTATACATATTCCTGCGTTGCCAGTAAGTTTTTTAGTCATACCTTGATTGCAAATTTATAGGGTGTTGAGCTTGAGCTGAGAAAGCTTGAAGGAGCAGTAGATGCCATCCATGAAAATCTACTCTATCTTAAGAGCAGGTACTTGCTTCTTGTAGTTGAGATGCATCAAGTATGATTTTGTGCTTTTTCTTTCCTTTTTTTTCTTAGTTCTTTTGCTGGTATATTCTTGCAGAGAAGCAGAGATGAGAACAATAAGTGAAAAAACGAATTCGAGGGTGGCATGGCTCAGTATCATGTCTTTGGGGGTCTGCATTATGGTTTCAGCTGTGCAGTTATGGCACTTGAAGCGATTTTTCCAAAAGAAGAAGCTAATTTAGGTTTTCTTAACCTTCCGGAAATTAGGTTTTCTTAATTTAATTATATTATGAGAAAGCAAATGAAACTAACCTTTTCCTTATAAGTTGTGCAGAGAGAAAACATTGATACCATGAATCAAGTATCCAGCTTTTACTCTTTGTATGATGAGAAAAAGTTGATTTGCAGGCATGGTCCAATACAATTTTGGTTGTTTCTCTTTCTCTTCATCGTCGGCCCCCATCTTTTGTTGGGTGGAGCAAGAGAAATACCGATCCTTCCACCCTGGGCATGGTATTTAGGTGTTTAATTTTGGCTTCCTGGCTTCCTTTTTTGTACGCTTTGTGTGAAAGGGAAATAAGGCTTTCTTTTGGGAAGTATTTTTGCAAGTTTGTTATCGATTTTCATTCCACTTTATAAAAGTAGTACTTATTTCTTATGAACTTTTGTAAACGAGAGTTGAAGATTGGAAACTGGTAATAAATAATAGGTCATCTTTTTGTAGTAAATCTGAAATAGTTGGTTCGTACTGGTTTAAGATCAGTTTAAATATGGTAGATATTGACGTATCATTTACTTTCCTATTGGGAATATTTTGGTTCCATGCAGCAGAGCCCTTCCGAGTTGAATAGGCTAAGATAACGTCAGAAATTGGGAAATCAGCTCAATTCAACTATTAAGCATATACTAGAACCTGTCTGTCTATCTATCTATCTATCTACGTATATGCATGTATGCAAATCAAATTAAAATCACTATATTGAAACTTTCTCCCCAAATATCAAGTTAATGCACGTCTTTGTCACGGACATTTTTCTCTCATACAACTCTCTTGTCTATCTATTTATCCATCTTTTTACGTACATGCGTATATGCAAATCAAATTAAGACCGCTATTTTGAAACTTTTCCTCTCCAAATATCTAATTAATGCACGTCTTTGTCTTGGACATTTTTCTCTCAGTACCACTCTCATTTCAAACGTTTAGTAAAATGGGTAGGGCTGCAGTTTTGTAAGGTCCAATATGAGGCTTCCACATGTTGGGAACTAAACCAACAGAAATCCATTCGTTTAGCAGTTTGTCTAATGATTGTCCCTTCCGCTACGTCAGGGGTTTAAACTTTGTTGGCTCATCTCTTATAATAATAATGAGTGCATCCCGAAAATTAATAAACAATATATTATAAGTCGATAATAGTAACTCAAATCAGTCAATTCAAATGTCTACCGATATTAAAATGAACAATATTTAGTTGGATACGAGTAGGCTAATTCTTTACACCATGAGTACAATATGTGCCTTGTGAATAAAGTAGATAATTGAGTCGAGCTACTAGAGTTTAGTTGAGGATTGACTCGTTTAGAAAAACAAGCTTAAAAAAACTCGACTTACTTATATATAAAATAGTTGAGTTGCTCGACTCAAGCTCGATTCGTTTTAAACTCAATTTGAACATTTTTTTAAGATAATTTAAAAAAATAAACTTGACAAACTCGATTCCCTATTTGTAAACAAGGTTTCAAAAACCAAGATGAGGGATATATTTTCAGAGGCCTACTATCAAACATTGTATCAATAATATATTTTCACAGCTAAGTTGTATTAAATAATCTTTTGGTAGCATCAAGTAGAAGTAGAAATATAGCTAGGTCATCAACTAATTTCACTTAAAAACCGTTCCGTGTATGTCAACATTTCAGTTAACAAGAGACCTACATGGTTGGTGGGTTCAGTTTACAACTAACCTTTGGAGCAAATTTACAGAATACAGTATTAAGAAAATCACCTACTTTATTTTTTGTTCAATTGTCATGGTTGTCCAATCCAACTTACACGCACCTCGACTAATTCTCTCTCCAGTTTAGTCCAAAGCCAATTATCAACATCAGAGCTAAAATATTCGTAAGAAATAAATCCCTTGTAATCTACTCCAAGAAATTATCAAAATTTGAACTTAAAACATTTGAATTTATAATTTACCTCTATTACCACTTGAGTTACTTGGAGTTAAAATCCACATTTCCGGAAGTTCATATTAGTAGCAAATTAAGCAGCAACTTAACTCAAATCACAGGGACTAAAAGGGACACGAAAGCATGTTTATAATGAAATTTGTGGAAAATGTTCCAAGTCTAATTCAGGACAGACTAATTTCAAAATCCAGTTGGAAGAAGAACCTAGTTCCTTCCAATACAAAGTGAATGAATTGTGGGTGGAGGGGGGGGGGGGGGTGGAACTCTTATGTGCTGTTATTCAATGGAAACAATCTTGCGATTTATGTGTCTAAAGCAGCAAATCTCCTCAAAGAAATCATCTGCACTGCTGTGGCTGCTCTTCATCTGAAGAATCTTTATTACCATCTTCTTTAGATTTTTCCCATACTTAACCAATGACTCAAGAGTGCCAATTTTCTGTTCAGCATTTAATGGTGATCTCACTGTGATCACCACCTCCTCCAGAGAAGGAATCACAAACTTCCAATCCAACTACAAAATGAGCAAATGCACATCAACTTTTAGTATCAGTTCTAAAATATCATCATTTAATGAAAAAACAAAAAAATTATAATCTCATTGTGCTGTTTCTCACATTTTTAAGGCTGTTCTTCTGGCAAAGAGCCGCGAACATGGCACCATGGATGTCAAACTTTTGCAGCTTTGGATGGCTGTTAAAGAAGTCGACAAAATCAATCTCAGGAAACGGTAGAAGGGCATCAAAATCCCCAGTGAATTCCACCTTCATGTAGAGATGCTTCACCTCACTTGCCATTTGAAGCATTTTGCTTATTGCTTCCCAACACCACTGGACCCCTCTAATGGACAAGGACTCAAGAGCCACAAGTCTCCCAAAATCCACCATGTAAACTCGCCCTGATGGTCATCACATGCAAGAAATATTCACAATAAGATTCAACATTCACAACCATCTTGCAAAAAAATAACTTGAAAAAAAAGGAATGAAATTGTAGTGATATCTAATGAAATATTTACCAGAGTTGTTGGAAATGGAAAGATTCCTCAGGCATTGGGTTTCACAGACCCGAACCCAACTACAACCTTGTACCTCAAGGCTTTCTAGCTTTGCAGCAGTGAGAGAAAGTGAACAATTACCCAATCCATAGAAATCAAGTTTACACTGCTCTAGCTGTGGCAGCTCAATAGAAACATACCTCAACCCCTCACAACCAAGTAGCAACAGGTTCTTCAAATTAGGACATGCACAAAGCACATCCGACAACGCATGATTTTCCAATTTAGCTCCAACTATTTGAAGATCTCGAAGTTTTTGAAAAGTATCCCATTTGGGGGAATATGTCATTAACACACCCCAAAGCTTTAGAGACTCTAAATTCCAAGTAGCTCTAATACAATCCAATTTTGAGGAGCTGTCCATACAGGACTGATCTTCAACAATGTTGTCCATCCGGAGCTCGAGATTCCTCAAGGATGGTCCTAGGAGTGACAGCCATGACCTGAGGCCAGCACTGGAGAAAGGGCAATAAACAACAAGTTCTTCTAGTCGGACAATTGACGATATCATCTGCCTCACAATGTTGTCGAGACTGTCGCCACCAGTGAGGTTGTCAAAAAGGTTGCGAGGGAAGTAAAGGCTCTTAAGATATGGCATTGAGTCCTTCCATTTCTTGGAGACACAAGTACATGATGCCACATCCTTAGCATTGTTCATTTGAGACAAGATATACTGGACAAGGGCATCAGGCAGGGAGTCCATTTTTTTCTGAGACCAACAATCGAACAGGTAATGGTCAAGTGGAAAATTGCACAAAAATACAGCTACATCAGAAAAAAGGGTGCATTATCACAATGAGGCAAGTTTTAATTAGCTTTTCAATCAATATAGATATAGAATTAATCAAGACAAGAACCAAAAGGGAAAAGCTGAAAAACAAACACTTAGACATGATATTTACAAGTGACAAAAAAGAATAAAAATTGCAGCCATTATCAATTGAATTAGTCAGTTACTTGGTACAATTTACAAATTTATGGTACACATATAAACAATCACATATAGCCGAATGAAATAGTAAGCAGCCCAAAGGATGCTATATATTGACCAGGATTTGTACCAGATTGAGTAATAAAAAAATCTTTATCAATGAATCAATTTGGCATTATTCGAAATGCATCCCTCTAAAGACAATAGGAGAGAGAAGCAAGTTACTCAAGTTTCAAGCTCATGCTCATAACTGACACACATACACTCAACTACACTCTCTGACATACAATTGAGAGAAGAACCCAGATGGTAAAATTGGCTTCTTTTTTAGTACGAAATCGAGATGAATCGAACACAATGAGGAAAGACAGATGGATAGAGAGAGGGGGGTCACTTTTACTAAGCAAAACCCATGTCCAAAATTAAGTTTAACCTCCATGATTGATACAAAATCCACCAGTTTCATCATAAAATGTTAAAGCCTATGTTCATAAAACGGTAGAACTTATCAGAGAAAGTGGAAATAGCTTACAAATCAAGAAATTGTGGGTAGTCTTTAACACGATGAACGGCCCAGAAGATGGAGAGAGAGTAGAAGATATCAGAGTGAGGTGAGAGGGAGAAAAAAGATGAGTGGAGAGTGCGGGAATATACCAAGGCGGACGACTGTGTTTCAAATTTCAAACCACATGCATGCAAAAACCCCGCTTTGTTTTTTGAATTTTCGACCGTTTTCACCAGTCTAAGAGGCAAATCTTAATCTTATATGGTTCAAACATTAGGAGTTTGCTTTTTTTATTGCCCATTCAGATATGGACATCTGTCACTCAGGAACAGAAAAAATGGGGCCCACATTAATCACATTTGAATATTGATACTGTGAACATTATTTTAAAAGAGTAATATTATTCAAAAATAATTTATTGACTTAATTTACTGACCTAATGAATTGTTGTTATTAGATAAAAGTGTGTATTTAGTATTAAATGGGACTCGCTATCAATTGTGTGATAAATAAGGTCGGCAAAATAGGTTCAAATAGCAAATTTTGTTTTAAAATGACAATTGAATTTTTATTTTGCTTGCCCCTCTCTCTAAATGGGCACATGCACTTCACTCATTAGGGGATTAGATTCGTTCATTTGCATTTTCATGCTAGCACTATAAAAGTACCTAAAACGTTGATGCATATTTTTAGGTGGAAATTAGAGCAATATAGATCGCTCCAAATGAAAAATGGAGTGGAGATTTGCTTTCCCATATCATATTTCATCCATTGAGATGATATAATTATTTGTTGGAGCTAGAACTCTCCCGATTTATTACTGAAATTTCATTTTTATAGTTTAATACAAGTGTTTGGACTAAAAAACAACAATCTCTTTTTATTAAGGGTAAGGTTTAAAATTAGTTGATTCTATACTAATTACATCATTAACTAGGGGTGATGGTACATAGTAAATTACTTTCTAAGAAGGGCTTTGCTTGCCCATTTTGTAGGTTGCATTATTTATAATAACATCTCTAATAGTGTGACATTATTATGATTAAAAATTAAATGTAAATTACAAATTATCTAGGGTGGTTTGACTCGATTGCATGTTACCTAGTTAAATTTTAAAAATTTATATGTAGCCCCATGTGACATTGAACCAAGTTGGAAGAGTTATTCCATCCAAATTACTATAATGTATTAAAATGACTAAGGGATCGTTTGATAACGTTTTTATTTTTGCGTCTGCAAAAAATCAAAAATAGAGACAATTTTTTATCTCTGTTTTGTGGTAAACACTGAAACAAAAAACATGTTTGGTAGTCATTTTTATCTATCAAATTATGAGAATAAAAACAAAAAACATGTTTGGTAACTACCTCAAGTTTTATCTTAAATATGTTATATTATCTTATTTTTTATTTTCAAACAAATTAAAACTTTATTTCATGAAAAATGATTTACAACCATGAATTCAAATAGATGTTATTATTATTATTTTTTTTTTAAGAAAAGAGAAATTTTATTGCATAAAGCTCAATCATTACCTAAATCAAAACCATGAATTGTCCTGAGTGCCGAAGCTAAGCTGTATTGATTGCTCCATCTTGCTACCTCAACATCAATACACATCAACAAACTTGAATACAAAGTTGTGCATTTCAAATATGAAATCAAAAAACACATTGTATAAATAAGTTATTCATCAATATTGTAATGTCAACTGTAGGGAGAAGTAATCCATATCCTCAAAGCCATCAATCCAAAGCAAGAAGATAGGATTGTGACATTGAGACAGTCCAGTTTCCCAACCCTCTATTATAGAAAAACAATCCAAGCTCACAGACTGTTTGCCGAATGTAACCATGTTGGACCTTCAACACCTTTGAGTAAAGGATTTCTAAGCTTCTGCTATGTTGCACTACCTCCAGTCATAGTCTCAAGCACTTTAGCACAGCAACAACATACTGCTCACAGAGCCACTGCTCAACAGAACTGCAACTTGCAACACATAATGCAGCATAGCAGAAACTGCCAGTAACAAAATTCCAAACATAAGCCATCAACTACCATAGACTGCACCATACAGTCTTGTCCTCAAACTTTAGTAAACTTGACCAAGATGAAAATTTTCAGCATTTACCATTATTATATAAAGGCATAGAGAGGGAATCAGAAATTACCAAAGCAGTTCACTTGTGGGCATGCACACATGACCAGAAAAATCAAAGCAGTTCACTTGTGGAACAATCGTTGCAACTGTAACAATTCCTGCTTCGTCCAAACAATCAAAGTAGTTCACTTGTGGTTAATTGCAACTTCAATTTGGGGGGTATGGATTGTAGTGCTGGAATGATACCCAATTGGTTTTGCTGTCAAACATTTCATCGGCTAGGTGGAGAGCAAGTTGACATTCATGAAAACACCCAACTCATACATATACACAAACCCAACTCATACACATACACAAACCCAACTCATAATCACACACACGCGCACACAGACACAGAGACTCGCACAAACATAGAGACACACACAAATCGACACACACACACACATACACATACACACAAAATCTAACTCAGATCTAACAAATTTAACTCAGGCAAGAGAGTGGAAGAGAGAGACCTTTGGGTCTTTGTTGCACATACATGAGATAGACCTTCGGTCTTCGTTGCAGAGAGCGAGGCGAGAGAGAGGTCTAATGAGTCTTGTTGAACAGACAGAGAGAGAGAGAGAGAGAGAGAGAGTCTCATTGCACAGAAGAGAAGAGATAATGAAATAGGTTTTATACTTCACCAAAAAAAGATATGTTTTGCTGCTTAGAAGAGTCGAAGCTTGGATCTTATTAATTTTCCCCAGCCCCCTCGCGTGTTGTCTCTGTTTTTCTTATTTCTTGAAACATTTTTTTTTGTTCCCATTTTTTTATTTTTGTTTCCAAATAACTAATATGAAAAAAAAACAAAAACAGTATCCAAACATATTTTTGTTTTTATTTTTGACAAAAATTGAAAACAAAAACACAAAACACAAGAGAAAAACAATCAACCCCTAAATTATCCTTCATCCAAACACCACTTGTGGATAACATCTATTCTTATTCTTTAAGTGAACATTATTGTGTATATAACCAAACAACTTCCTCCTCCTCCTCATTTTTATTTTCACACACACCCTTTGATGCAAACAAAGACACCCACACTTCAAATAGCAGTGAGGAACCAGTAGTTATAAGCTTGAGCTTGAGGCATAGAAATAAAATAACGCTAGACTGACAAAAAAAATATATGACAAGAAAAAGGGACTAAATGATGTGATATTATTATAATAAAAATAAAATAATTTTTGAATGTGTAAAAATCGGATGAACAACATCGTTATGATAAAATCATCTCATTTGATTTTTTGTTTTCTTTTTGGTTAGTTCATAATAGTAAACTAATTTATAATATAAAACATGACATGTTTCAATAAATTCATCCGACAGTTTCAAAAAGATTTATCAACGACCACCAACATCCCTCTTAAAACTATTCACATTTAATTTTTTTCCCTCCAAATTCTTTGCTTCTCACGTACCGTGCCTTCAGGCACGATTTACTTTCTATTTGTTTTATTTTTACGAAAAGTTGTGACGTGATACTTTTTAAACTACCTAATTATAAGAAAATACTTTGACTATTTTTTTTCGTAAATAGTGCTCTTGACTTGAAATGCCCATCTGATAGTTTCAAATAAACTAATCTAATTGTCATCGACATCTCTCCCAAAATCCATCACTTCTCATTTATAGTGCCTTTAAGTACGGTTACCCTAAGTTAAATACATGTTGGAACTCAAAAAAGATGTGTTCTACAAAATTTGAATAATTTTTCAATCTTCTTTTTCTCTCTATCTAGGGTTGTTAATTAAGTTGAGCTTTACGAGTTTAAGCCTGAGTCTATCGAGTTATTTTTATAAATGAACTTAAAAAATTGTTTAAACTCGACTTGTTTAAAAAATGAGCTGAGCTCCAGCTAAGCCGAATTTAAATTTCTTGAACTTGTAAACTCCCACATTTTTCTCTTTTATATAGTAACGTAATTATATTTTAAAATGTTAATATATGTGACAATATATGCATGAATTATGTGGATGGTAAGAGTAAAAATAAAAATATTAATTGAGGTAATAGGATATGAATGAGAAATTATGAAGTATTCCGAAATTCAAACACTTAGATAAAATTTGGGTACAAAGAATTTTGGACACTGTCTAGTATTTAGATCATAACTTTTTACCCTGATGTTCGTTTGAGCTGAAAGTTTTACAGTAGATAAGGCTTCCAGGGCTACAAAAGTGTATTTCATGAAAAATTTTTAAATCGACCTCTAAATAGGCCAAACCTTCATTGAAAATTTTACTAGAAACAGGAAGTCTGTTCGAATGACAGTTTGTTCCAATACTTTGTCTCTGATGGGAAAACAAAAGTACTGGGAATAACTAATGTTCGAACGCCAATGACGTTCGAATGTGAGCGACGAATCAGAGTATCAGATTTACGTCGTTTGAACTCTTTTCTTCCCCTATAAATACATAAGGGCGCCTCCAATAGCCCCATTTTAACATTTATAACCCTAGAGAGGCTTAGAGAGGAAGAAATAAGGGAAAAATACAAGATCAAAAGGTATTTACACATTTAAGAGGATCAAAATTTCTAGTTTTTTAAGAATACCAAGGAAGAAGAAAGATAGAGATTTCTTTCTATTCTCTTTCGTTGACGTTATGGCATATATATATATATGTATGTTTTCACTTTCAATCCTATATATATAGTATAAAATCATTATTTCTTGATATTCTTACAAATATTATCATGTTTTAAACAAAGCTATGTTAGATAGCCATGAAATCTCTTTTTCATCACAACTAATAGCTCTATACCGCCCCTGATGCAACAAACATTCACATGCATATAAACACACACATCATACAGACATTCTCTCTCCCGACTCTCTAATTTTGTGTGCATGTGCGCGCATGCGAATATACTACCACCTAATACAAAATATTACAAATTTTGAAGATATGACAACTCTCATAGAGACAAGTTATTTAAGAAATGATGTT